GAAAAATCACTTCCCAAGAGATGGCCAAGCTGTAATCCCTTTTCCTCCATTCTCTCCCTGGGATTTTGGGCACCCACACACATGCACAAGGGGTTTCAAGCCTCCAGGTCCAGGACTTGAACCACTGCTGGCCATGTGGGAGTCCCGTGCTTTAACCACCATGTTACCTACTGGTCCCTTATGGTTTCTATTTCTTACCTGTAAAATATAAGTAGGTTGAATTTTAAAAATCCTTTGGAGTCTTTTCAAATTATGATAGTGATTTTTTTGTTGTTGTTGAGCATTTGTGAAAAAAAATTGGACCATCTACTATGTTGACAATTTATAATATTCAAGGCTACATAAATAATTTCAATGAGATATTATCTCATCAAAAAATTAAAAGAGCATGAACTTTCCTGAAATCAAATTCACACATTACTCTAGTTATTATAGCATTTTTTGAAAAGGTCATGGTCATTTTCAAATTCACATAATCACCTCAAATCAATAAATATTGGTGGATTGGCCATGATAAACAATGCTTTAAAATATCATGATAGGTTTGAACACACATACATCAAGATTGGATCTGAGTTAAATACCCATACAACGCCCCCTCCAGTTTAGGTTTCTGAAAACAAGTTGACAAAAATATTTAATAATATGATATTATGCAAGACAATTAGAAGAATTTTCTTGCTAATGAAAATTCCTTCAATTTGACTTGAAAAACAAATGAATTTTTTTTGAGAGAGACATTTTTGCTATAGGATGTATGCACTTGTTGGGAAGAGAGAGAGCGACAAAGAGACAGGAAATGAGAAAGTAAGAAATCAGTCACCAGGGGGATGGCCATCCCACAATCCTTTCTCCTCCATTCTCCTCTCAAGATTTTGAGCATGCATGCTCACGTGCTGGCATGAGTTTCAAGCTGTTGGGATAGGGACTCAAACTGTGATCAACTATGTGGGAATCCAGCACCTTAACCACTATGCTACCTGCTGTCTTCCCAAGTTGAAAATGTTCTTGAACATAAGGATTCAAAGTATAAAAACATGTTAGGCATTAACATGCCTATGCTGACTTCCACATGTCTCAGTTTATTGCCTAATGGAATATATTCAAACCTGAGTATTTTTTTCACTTTTCATAAAGATAAAATTGGCACAAAATATGAGTATGAAGAAAGTGTAATGGGTTAACCATAGCTCACGTTATTCTTTTATTTCAGGCAGATTCAACATGTGGTTGCTTTTAACAGTGGCAAGTTTAATATCTGCCCTTGGAACTACACACGGTATATTTGGAAAATTCAACCCTGAAAGCCCTGAAGTTAATATGAATATTGTAAGTTACTGGGTAGGGAAGAGGGAATTAAAAAACTAAGATAATATCATGATTTAGAATCAGAGTGAGTTTATGCTTTTACATGACCAATGAAAAATAATTAACAATGTCTATTTATTGGATGCCCTTATAAAGCCAACTAAAACTCAATTTTGGATTTTCCTTATCAGAGTCAGATGATTTCCTTTTGGGGATATCCATCTGAAGTATATGAAGTTGTGACTGAAGATGGTTATATTCTTGACATCAACAGAATTCCATATGGGAAGAAAAATTCAGGAAATAGAGGTATAATTGCTTTCTCTCTATCTCTTTTCCACTTTCTTCATCCCTCTATACCTTTCTTCTTTCTTTCCTCCATCCCTTTCATCTTCTTCTTTATTATATTTTTTTCCATTTATTCCTAAGAATTTAATAAGACTTGCTCTTCTGAAAATGTAATAATGACTAAACTGTATTTCTCATTTTTCAGGAGACCACTGTCAGTCAATGAAATACATTTAAAAATGATTACAATAATACGTGATAAGTTCAGTGCTATAGTTGTGCACAAGATACTAACTTTGTTCTAGTCTGGTGACACAGTCAGTAGCAAACAAACAGAACTGCAGTGCTGGAAATCACATGACTGACCATGGGTTTGCAACCCCAGGTCAGCTTGGAAAAATGTTAACCATGTGAATGTGCCCAATAATCTCATAAACTGAAGAAGAAGGCTAGGGAAAGGGGATCAAGCAAGACAAGACTGTGTCAAGGGTTTTTCTCTCTCTCTTTCTCTCTGCTTTCCTATTGTGATAAAATAAATCAACTTTAAAAATAAAGAGAAAGCCATTAAACTGAGAGTTGTGGTGATGGCACCTAACCTAGATAAGAGAAATCAAGTTTCTCTCAGAAATAATAACTGAACTGAGGTCTAGAGGAACATGAAGAATTAGCCAGGGTTTTTGTTGCAGAGAGGAGAAAATGGAGGCAATTTGAGGCCCATTTCCTAAATAAAAGTCATTTTTTTTGCTAGTATTATTAAAAATCTGGGACCAGCAGATGGCATAATGGCTATGTAGCTGGACTCCCATGTAGTCAACCGCAGTTCAAGTCCTAGACCCAGTGGTTTAAAACTCACACTGAGCACATGTGCATGCATGCCCAAAACCCCAAGAAGAGAATGGAGGATAAGGGATTGTGGCACAGCCATCCCCCCTGAAGGGTGATTGTTTTCATCACCACAATTGACTTTTCAAAAATATTCGACTCAGATCAAGTTGAGCAAATATATTTAATTTGTCACATGAACGTCCATTTCCATCTTTATGTGTATCATTATTATTATTATTATTATTTAAGGATTTTGCCACAAAGCATATGCACTCACCAGAAAGGGAGAGAAACTGAGAGGGAAAGTGAGAAATCACCCCTCCAAGGAAGGATGGCCACACCACAATCCCTTCTACTCCATTCTCCTCCTGGGATTTTGAACACACTCGCACATGTGCCTGGTGTGATTTTTAAGCTGCTATTTCTGGGACTCAAACTGTGCTCGGCCATGTGGGAGTCCAGTGCCTTAACCAACACACCACCTGCTGTCCTCTATGCTTATCTTAAAATAAGGAATAACTTATAAAAATGTTAAACAATTTCCTTCTTCAGGTCAGAGGCCCGTTGTGTTTTTACAACATGGTTTGCTCACGTCAGCCACTAACTGGATCGCCAACCTGCCCAACAACAGCCTGGGCTTCATTCTGGCAGACGCTGGTTATGATGTGTGGCTGGGGAACAGCAGAGGAAACACCTGGGCCAGGAGAAATATATACTTTTCACCAGACACAACTGAATTCTGGGCTTTCAGGTAAAGAAAAGAGGCAATTGAAAGTGGGTAATAGAAAATAAACATTGGACTTTAGAAAGTATGAGCATTTTTTTTTCCTTTAACAAATTACACTCCAAATAAGAGGAAAAACGAGTCATTTTTATTCTAATCCCTATTGAATTCTTCCATATACTTCATACCAAGGATAGCTTTTTCTTCAAACTTTCTGTGATCTCAGCACCCACTGTTGGGAGAACCTGAATTGGCTTTTCCAAATGGAAGGTATAATATAGCTGAAGCAAGAAAAATTCATTGCCCCTGGAAAATTCCAAGAGGGATATTCAATATAGGTTCAAAAGGATGTTAAGATCCAGTTGGAGGGATCAGCAGATGGCGTAATAGCTACATCTCTGGACTCGTAATCAACTGCAGTTCAAGTTCTGGACCCAGTAGTTTAAATTCATGCTTGGTGCGTGTGTGTGCGTGCCCAAGATCCCAAGAGGAGAATGGAGGAGAAGGGATTGTGGCATGGCCATCCCCCCTTCGGGTGATTTCTCGCTTTCTGTCTCTCTGTCTCTCCCTGTCTTTCTGGTGAGTGCACACAGCCTACAGCAAAAACCTCTCAAAAACAAAACAAAACAAAAACACCCAGGTGGAAATGGGAGAATAGCAACCAGAGTAATCAAGGGAGAGCAGGGAAGAATGGAAGTCAGATGCCATGTAGAGTTTCCCAACAGTTTCCTTTTACTGGTGTTCTTGTGCCCTCTTCTTGGAAATTACTGCTGACGGTGGACAGAAGAGAATTTGGCCAATGATCTGAGGCACAAAAGTGCTCTGAGAGTTCTCGGAACTGAAAGGAAACCCTTGTGTCCCAAGGGAAGAGAGAGAGTGGTGAGGGAGGAGTCAGGAGGTGCTGACTAGAATCAGATCAGGCAGAGTGGAGTGAACAATGCTAAGAACCTTAAGCTCATTTCTATTTCTTTTCTTTTCTGAGAGACTTTTGCTATAGAACTCATGCATTTGCTGGAGAGACAGAGAGACAGAGAGCAAGAAATAACTCACCGGTGGGGATGTCCAGGCTGCAATCCCTTGTCTTCCATTCTGCTCTTGGGATCTTGGGCTTGCTTGCACAAGTGCCTAGCATGAGTTTTAAGTCACTGGGCCCAGGACTTGAACCGCAGTTGACTACATGGGAGTTCAGTGACATAAGCATTATGCAATCTGCTCATTCTAAATGCAACTCAAAGCCTCTAGAAAGTGTTTTGTCTGTTTGCTATAGGGCACATGTGCTTGTGGGGACTGGGGTAGAGGGATGCATCTCCTCTTGGGATTTTGGGCTCACAGGCATACATGCCCAAAGTGATTTTTAAGCCACCAGTTCTGGGACCCAAACAGATCAGTGAGCCATATGGGATCCAATGCCTTAACCACACCACCCACTGGCCTGCCACTGGAAAGCTTTAAACAGCAAAGTGGCATAACTCAATATTCATTTTTGAAATATGACTTTGGTTCATTTGTGAAGAATAAAAGGAGTTTGTTCATATTAAATGACACTGAAACACAGTATATAAATGCATATCAAACCTGACAATCAGTTTCAGGCATAGAAGTAATTTCCACCTAGAGATACTATCTTGTTTGGTTTCAGTTGCAGCTATAATGCTGTGCTTCGAAAATTATGTCAGTTGTCTGAACGAAGCCACCCCAACAGGCAGCTGACGCTAACGGTCTCCAAGCAGCAGTGTCAGACAATTGCATTTTCCGTTTCCCCAAGGGAGACTTAGCTATAAATATGCTGAATTTAAAAAACGAAAGCAAGGCAATGTATTCAGTTTTGTTTTTTCTTTTTGTTCTTTGCAGCTTTGATGAAATGGCAAAGTATGACCTTCCGGCCACCATTGACTTCATTTTGAAGAAGACTGGACAGGAGAAGCTTCACTATGTTGGCCATTCCCAGGGTACCACCATTGGTAGGTAAAGGCACTTGAGGCCAGCGAGACAGGCCCCTTCCCAGTGATTGTGACAAGCGTGCTAGTAACCACACTAATTACTTTCCATTCATTATATAATTCAATGCCTACAGCAACTCAGTAATAGAGGGGCAGTATTATTCCTACTAGATGGGAAATCTAAATAAGGGGGTAGGCCAAGCCTCTCGTAGTGCAGGCAGACTATAGAGCTGGCAGCCATAGGCCAGCCATCTGTTAGAACTGAAACAGGACTGAGTTGATTCTGAACTGGCATCTCAGACGTCAGTGATTTGTCCAGTGTCACAAAGTCAATGAACTGCAGAACTAGGACTCAAATCCAGTTTGGTCATATTTTTTTAAATTATTTATTTTATTTTTATTTATTCATTCATTGATTTTTTAAATTTGACCAGAGAGAGATAGAGGGTGAGAGTGAAAGAGAGAGGAAGTGAGAAAGCAAGCCACCAGGTCCAGGACTTGAACCCCGATCGGCCATGTGGGAGTGTCCAGTGCCTTAACCACCACGCCACCCGCTGGTCCCAGTTTGGTCATATTTTAAACCTCTGCTCTTAATCCTTCCTCTTCCCTCTATTCATATAAGAGGTCCACAAAAAGTTCATGGAAAATGTATACTATAACAAAACTATACATAGATTTCCAATAACTCATGTGTGAATTACATTTTCAATACATTTTAAAGTCCCCTCATTGTAATAAGATGTGAAGATTTTGAGTTTATCAAAGCTTACATAGAGTTCTCAAAAAAAGATATTGTTTTGTAACCATGTGATCATCTTAAATTTGTCCCCACATTTTCAAAAGTCAGGTAAAAGCTTCTTATATTACAACATTTTAAAAGTTCTAGCTTCTGAACCCACAGAGAATAGATGGAAATAAAACTAAAATCTAATTACTTAGGCAAGCGGAAAGCGCCAACGTCTCTGGTTTCTTGTATCTTAGTAAGTCTGAGTTAATGTCATGGTTCTAAAAACAAAACAAAACAACACACAGAAGCAAAAGCATGACTTCTTCATGGGTTCCTTGTTGTGTTTCAGGTTTTATTGCCTTTTCTACCAACCCCACACTGGCTAAAAAAATCAAAACTTTCTATGCATTAGCTCCAGTCGTCACTGTGAAGTATACGAAAAGCCTTTTAAACAAACTTACCCTTATTCCTTCCTTCCTTTTCAAGGTATGTGAGTCTTCTTAATTAATTGACTCTTAGCTACCCAATTGCCCACGGGTTTCAAAGTGAAGGAAAGTGGGGGAGGGAACCCACCTGATGGATAGTCATAGTTTGTAACCAACAATGGAACTGAAAATTTACTTCTTCAATATAACTGACATCTCTCTCTCTTCAGTGAGCCTATAAGCCCTATAGCAAAAAATAAAAAATAAAAAATAAATAAAAGGCCTGACCCATTCATAGTCAAACTGAAAAAAGGAGAGAAAAAGAAAAGGTAAGGAAAAGGAGAAAGGAAATAAATGATTAAGGCAAATACTTTGAGACTCTCTCATTAAATATCCTTGGCTTTCCTAAAAGCTGCTTCATTTTTAAAAAACCTTTTGCCACAGGGCATGTCTTCTCAATGGAGAGAGAGAGACAGAAACAGAGAGAGGGAGAGTTAGGAATCGTCTCCTAGAGGGGATGGTCACACCACATTCCCTTCGCTTCCATTCTCCTCTTAGGATTCGGGCACACACACACTCGTACTCAGAGTGATTTTCAAGCCACAAGTCCTAGGACCTGCAGTCAACCACATGGAAGTCCAGCGCCTTAACTGACATGCCACCTGCTGGCCCCAAGAACTGCTTCAATTTTAAAGGATAATTTTATAGGGCAGTAGTGTGGGTTTCAATAAAGCATAAGTATTAGGTACATAAATAATAGCATACGCAGTAGGAAATTAATAATCTTTACTTTTCCCAATGTTTAATTGTCTACGCACACACACACACACAATTTTTTTAGAAACATTGTGTGTATGGGTATAAGATGTAATGATATCATGTTCTTCTATGGTTTTGTATAATCCATTTCTTTTTACTCTATGTTAAAATGTATGTCTAAAGCCTACATGACTTTATATTCAATCTATATTTGTAAAGCTTTTATTTGTATGATGACCCTGATTATATTTGCTGATTGTAGGGATCTAGAATTTCTTACTTGTGTTCAGATTTTCTAATAACCAATACAATGGTGTTTTTCATTTATTGTGGTTTTTATTTTTTTGGTGTGTGTTTCTTTAAAGCATTAGATTAACAGGGAGAAACTTGAGTTGGGAGTTTAGGCATAATCTAGTTATTTGTCTTAAAGAATTATTTATTTAATTTTATTTATTGTTATTATTATATATTTTTTAAATTTGCGATAGGGCCCATGTCTCTGACAGAGACAGAGAGAAAGTGAGAAAGCAAACTGCCAGGTCTAGGACTCAAACTGCTGTCGACCATGTGGGAGTCCAGTGCCTTCACTACCATACCACCTGTTGGCCCCATAATTTAGTTCTAACTAGTTCAAGATCCTGACTATTAACCTCATATTTCCTCATGTATAAAATGGAGATGACAAGATGTCTGCCTTTCTCAGAAGAGTTGGGACAAATCCTTTTAATTCTCCAACAATTGTTTCTCAAAAAGCTTTGCAGAAAATATGGCTCAGAGTCCCCATTTCCCCTACTGATTTTCTCACAGTTTATTGCACATCTTGGCACTTAATTATGACGATCTGCCTTGTTGTTCTATGACTTTATTCATAACTCTAATCACCCTAACTAGTGCATAGACCTTTGTGTGTGTGTATATATACACACACACACACACATATAATATATATATATATATAGAGAGAGAGAGAGAGAGAGAGAGAGAGAGAGAGAGAGAGAGAGAGAGAGAGAGAGAGAGAGAGAGAGAGAGAGAGAGAGAGAGAGAGAGACGCAGGCTCATTTGTAGGAAAAGTATCTAGACATATTTCTTTCTCCTCAGCCACCAGCACAGTTCTCAATGCAATAATTCAACCCAGAACTGACACTTACTCAGTCCCTTCCACTACTTTATTGTGGGAATTAAATAAAAGAGAGTATTGGAAATTCCTGAAACGACATATAGAAATAAGAAAATACCATCAGCCTAAACACAACTGTATAAGTAGATAACACAAATAAAGTCTCTTCTTCAACTTGGTTGCCACGCCCCTCAAATGATGCTTTTATTTTCCAGGTTATATTTGGTAACAAAATATTCTACCCACATCACTACTTTGACCAATTTCTTGCTACTGAAGTGTGCACCCGTCAGACGCTGAATCTCCTTTGCAGCAATGCCTTATTTATCATTTGTGGATTTGACAATAAGAACTTGAACACGGTTTGTATGCACTGCGATTTCTATGCTAAATCTTTTTGAAGAACTCCTTTGATTACTTGTCTAACCATCACTTAGAAATGGTACTTCATGGGAAACAGCAGTTAGCATAATGGCTATGTCGCTGGACTCCCACGTAGTCGACTGCGGTTCGCGTCCTGGACCTGGTGGCTTAAAACTCACGCCGGGCGCATGTGCATGTGTGCCCAAGATCCTGAGAGGAGCATGGAGGAGAAGGGATTGCGGTGTGACCATCCCCCCTGGGGGGTGATTTCTCACTTTCTGTCTCTATGTCTCTCTCTGTCTGTCTGGCGAGTGCATGCGCCCTACAGTGAAAACCTCTCCAAAAAAAAAAAAAAGAAAAGAAAAAAAAAAGAAATGGTACTTCATAAGAATTAGAAATAACTTCAGAATTGTGTACACAGTAAGACCATGAGAAATCATTAGTCATTGTTCCCAATTTTGTTACTTTGGTTTCCTTTCATCATCCTAATTTTTCCTAAAATAAATAGATAGGATGTAGGGGGAAGAAACAAAGCAAAACAAACCCGGTTACTCACTTATAACCACCTAAGTTATTGGCGTGGCATGTGACATTTCATTTATGCCAAGGACAGGACTAAACACACACACACACACACATTTATATGTATATATATATA